CATTCAGAGTATTGAACAAGAAATCAATGGTGGTAGAAGAATCAATTCATGTTACATTTGATGAAGCTCATAAGAAGGAAACCCAGAGCAACAAAAATGATCAGGAAAGTTGTCAAAAGTCATTTAATGATACTGACATATCTTTTAAAGATCAAATTGTACAGGGTATGGAGCAATTGGACATTGATTGCAATAGTGAAGGACACGTGGAAGCTAATAGAGATCTCCACGTGGAAAATCAAAATTCTCAAGATGAAACACAAGTTGGAGATCAATCTGATGAGCAAAATACATTTACCTCCAACTTACCTACTAAACAAGGGAATGTGGAAAGCCCATGCAACCTACAACCTGACTTGAGATGGCTGAAAAATCACCCTCCAGAGCTAGTGATTGGAGATCCACGAGAAGGACTAAAAACAAGGTCCTCAAATATACACACTTTATTTTCTTGTTTTCTTTCTCGGGTGGAGCCCACAAGCATTGAAGAAGCTCTAAGTGATCCAGATTTGATTAATGCAATGCAAGAAGAGCTTGATCAATTTAAAAGAAGTGACGTATGGGAATTAGTTCCAAGACCTGAGAATTACAATGTAATTGGAACAAAATGGGTCTTTCGGAACAAGGCAAATGAAGATGGAATTGTCATTCGAAACAAAGCACGATTAGTGGCTAAAGGATATTCACAAGAAGAAGGCATAGACTTCGATGAAACGTTTGCACCCGTTGCAAGACAAGAAGCCATCAGAATATTTCTAGCTTATGCCGCGTACAAAAATTCACTGTCTATCAAATGGACGTGAAAAGTGCATTTCTAAATGGCTTACTTGAAGAAGAAGTCTACGTTGAGCAACTATCCGGTTTTGAGGTAAAATGTGATATTGATAAGGTCTACAAATTAAAGAAAGCGTTATATGGGTTAAAACAAGCACCGAGAGCTTGGTATAACACCCTATCAACGTTTCTAATTAACTGTGGTTTCACAAAAGGCCTTGTTGATAAAACCTTATTTAGAATTCAAGAAAATGATCACATTTTATTGGTACAAATTTATGTTGATGATATTATCAACATGGCCTTTTGTGAGAAATTTTATTTGAAAAAGTACCTCAGGGACATGTCAGTTCTTAGGGGGAAGATTGGTATCATGGTTTAGCAAAAAGCAAAAATCCATACCTACAAGTACAGCCGAGGCTGAATATATAGCCGTTGGGAGTTGTTGCGCGCAAATTCTTTGGATGAAACAACAGCTGAAAGATTATGGCGTGAATTGTGAGAATGTCAACATATTGTGTGACAATACTAGTGCCATAGCAATAACACACAATCCCGTGTTACATTCAAGAACAAAACACATTGATGTGAGACATCATTTTATCCGGGATCATGTCGAAAAGAAGGAATTGTCAATTGAATACATTCTGACCGAAAATCAAATAGCTGATATTCTCACAAAGCCTCTATGTGAATCAAGATTTTCGAAATTAAGACACGAGATGGGAATGATTGAATTGAGCTAAGTTTCTAAACTCTATTTAAATTAAAAGCTCAATTTTCATCTGAAAAATTCGTTACCTTATCTGATTTAATTAGTTTCGTGCCTATGTGTCACACATGCAAATTTGTCACATCTTAACATTTAAGTCTACAATAAATATTGAAAAAGCACATATTGCATGCATGTCTAACCGTGTATCTATTTATTTATATATGCACAAATCAAAATTATTTAGATCTACACAATCTTACCATTTAAGAGTTGGCAAGATGGAATGATGATGAGTTATCTTAAATGAGAGCATCTTTTTATGGTAGTTGCCATAATAAATAGTCTAAAAAGAATCAATTTCTTTTTCTTTATCCCAACTACATTAAACGTGTATATATACATGCACATATAATTTTCGGAACAGATTTAGTGCTCTATGAATTTTATTTCAAGTAAAATCAGTCCGAGCATCTAAATTTTTGGCGCCACATCAACAGACAAATTGGATGGAGCATATATAACCTAAACTAACTATCAGTTAGCACTACAAGAAAAATCATGAATCGCAACGGAAATATCGCGACGGAACATAATCCGTTGTCAATTCGTGACGGTTTTTGCGACGAAACGTGTTCCGTCGCGATCTTGCGTCGAAAATGGTGACAGAATCCAATTCCGTAGCGTTTTTTGGCGCAAAGTAAGGAAAAACCCTGGTAAATTTTGGCGCCCACATTTTGGTGACAGATATTGCGACAGAATTAAGTTCTGTCACCACAATAGCGACGAAAAAGGCAACAACCGATGGTTTCGTCGCGGTTTTGCGACAGAATAGGTGACAAAAATAAATTCCGTTGCGAGAATTAGCGCAAAGTGGAAAATATTCCCGCAACAAGGGATTGACGACGGAGGCTGACGACGAAATTTGCGACGGGAATTTTTTCTGTCACGAAAATATATAAACTTTGAAGTAAAGTTTATTTTTGCTACAGAATAAGACGACGAAATCAATTCCGTCGCAAATATGTTGACACGTTGGCGACAGAAAAAGCGACGCCCTATATGTCTGTCGCGCTATGGCGATGGAATCGGCAACGAAAAGTAATTCTCTTGCGATGTTTGGCGCAACGGTAGATTTGACGTTTGAAGTTGGCGGCGGAACTTACGACGATCATTCTTTCCATCACTAAAATATTTAATTTTTTTAGTAAAGTTTATTTTCGCTACAGAATACTACTACTACTACATTATTATCTTTGCTGTAAAAATGTACAAAAACTATATTATTATTATCTTTTATTATTACTATTTTCCTATTTCCTTTTTCCTCCCCCTTATGCACACAAATTTGTTGTTGTTATTGTTATTATTTATTTATTTGTTATTATTACTATTATTATTATTATTATTATTATTATTATTATTATTATTATTATTATTATTATTGTTGTTGTTCGTTGTTGTTCATTTTTGTTGTTATTATCTTTGTTATAGAAATGTACAAATGCTATATTGGATGATTGTATTTAATGAAATCAAACAATTAGAAAAATGAAAAACTAGAGTAATATGGAATGAAAATTAGAAACTAGAGAATTGAAAAACTGGAAGAATAGAGAAAGAAAACTGGAGAAATAGATAAATGGAAAAACCGTTAAATGAAATAACTTTTTTTAATAACTATATATATATATATATATATATATATATATATATATATATATATATATATATATATATAGATATATATATATTTGAATTACTTGAAAGATGGTCCGAATTAAGATTTCACACAAGACCCCTACTTTGATTGGAACGATCCTGTTTCTAGGTAATTAATGAGGTAAGTATCATTGTACTTTATATAAATGACACATACTTCTGAGTTGTATAATAAATTTCACTTTTAAAAAAATTAAGTTAAGTTTTACTTTTTAGTCAATATTGAATTTTAAATTTAATTTATTTTAATATAAAAATTGTTAGGATATCATTTTTATTATCGATTATAACTATCTACAACAATATTAATCTTTACGATTACTTTTACTTGAAGATTTAAATGCTCCTTTTGATTATATCAAAAATAATTATTTTTATTTTATATTTATTATTTAATATTTAACAATTGTGCTAAACATTTACTTATTTTAACTTTCGTGTTAGATTTGGTGTTATATATATATATATATATATATATATATATATATATATATATATATATATATATATATATATACACACTCACTAACAATAAACTTAACTGATCTGTTAATTCAGTTAACCAATACTTTATAACCAAACTATCAATAATTAAAAATTTTAACAATTGAACGAATTGAAATGTTTTTTTAAAAAAATTTATTTATTAATTGGATTCTTCGGTTCGATCGTTTAACAATTTTTCACTAATAACTGAAAAATTAAAATTTTCAATTATTAAGAAAGTATATTTATTGTAATCATTAATTGAAAATGACGTAATTTTTTATAATTTATATATATATATATATATATATATATATATATATATATATATATATATATATATAACATTGTAATTTAACAAAATTAACCCTTTAACAATTAAAAATTTAAATTTAAACTAAAAATTCCTATTCCTAAAATACTAAATCTTAAATTGCCCTAAAATCCCTAGTCTTCTAACCTGCCGTAAACGCCACATCTCTCCAAAGCCGTCGCCGCTGCTCTCCTCCAAAGCCGACTCCCTTAACGTCGACGAAGTTGAAGCCAACGCCGTCGTCTCCTGTCCTCCCCTGCCGCCGCTGTCGTCTCCAGTTCTGCCCCTGCCGTCGACGTAACTACCAGAAGGTGAAGCAGAAGTCCTCCCTTGTCGCCGTCCTCCCCTGCCGACGACGAAACACCTATGTATTTCTTGATCCATAGTTTCTTTAATTTCATTATTCTTGATCCTAATTTATTGAAATTATGAAATTATGAAATTATTCTTGATCGTAATTTCATAATTTCATTATTTTCATTATTTTCTTTAATTGATATCATAGTGTTTGGTGGATATTTTAATTATTTTCTTTAATTGATTTAATTGATATCATAGTGTTTGGTGAAATTATCAAAATGAGATTGTGTAGCCATTGAATTTTTTTTTTTTGCTATTGTTGATGTGTTTGTTTGATGAGTTGATCACCTTGGGCATTTTATTTTTGCCCTTGGGCATTCTATTAGTGCCTTTTTCTTTCCTTAAATCATCTGAAAAGGTGTTTGGATTTAGTGAGCATATTAAACTTTGGTGGATGTTCATTTGAGTCCATGCACCGATGTCTTTTAATGCAATAATCTATTTGCATCTCATGTTCCTTACTATGCTATGTGTGTGTTAGTGGTGTATGATGTTCATTTTCCAACACTATTTATTGCACCAATCCTTTCCCAAAAAAGGGAAAAAGAAAAAAAAAAAAAAGAAAAAAAGAGAGGACATCTTCTATCTTAATACTCTGTAGTTTTAAAAATAATTTGCAGCCAGTCATTCTTCTATCCTTTCTCATTGACATGATATTCAACTGGTTTGGTAAACACTTTATATGCAGGCTGCCATTGTAAATTCACAAACTCTTGAAGAGGTTGCAAGGCTTGAGTAGGTGTGAAAGATTTTTGTTTTTATCTCTTATTTTAAGCCTTGTGCTTTCTACAGTTTAGACAAGTTACTAATTATTTAAAACTTTTGTAGGCTTTAAAGTCTGGCCAGCTTCCCACATATCTCATCATTGGTGATGATGATACTAGCTCCAAGAAGGATGATGCTAAAGAAGATAAAATGGTTCCAGATGGTGAGAATCAAGCTATAATAGTGAGCAGAGAGATAGTCTCACTGAACAAAATGATGGTCCTACATAAATGGAGCAGGTACATGCAGTTTATTACATAAATATGGTGACTCTGATTATCTCATCATTTGGTGAAGTTTCTTATGCATTAATTGGTTGTTGGCATGTTAATATATTACTCTGTATTTTGAATTAGTTGCCTTTTGTGCTATGTCTTTAGCATTAAAATAATAATATTTCAAGAATAGTCAATAGAGAAGCTCATTTTCTTCGAACAAGAAGTATATTCGCTTTATTGTCTTTTCTTTTGTTGTCATCATCCGTGTGCCTGGGTAATGACAACATAAATATATATATACTTACCTACATGTGTATATATCTGGCCAGAATCTGAATATTCTTCCAATCCCCCAGCAAGCTCTTCTCATGCTCCTTTACCTAGGGTCAAGACTTGAAGAAGAAGATCAAATAATCTAGTCTTTACTTGATGATTTCCACCCCCAAGCAATAGTTTTGAAGATTAACAGCATGCTTGGCCTTTAAAAAAAAAAAAAAAAAAAACAGCATGCTTGGAGTTGGCGTTTCGCACAAAGCGCGTGCCCACGACTAGTCAGATAATATTACATCAACATTCAACATTGCAGCCATCAGACCGTGCTAATTCTACAAAGATACAAGATTTGATTGAAATTTTGAAGACTTCTATGCTTATGCATTAAAGATTAGATGCTCTTGAGAGTGAAAGAGCTGACACTTCATCATCACCCTCATCGTAACGGGATTAAACTTGATATTTATATTTTTAATGGATTATTATATTCTTGTTTAGGCACGAATTTGGTATTAAGTACAACATTCTCAATTGGTTGAACTATGAAGTATTACTATTATATTACAAATTATATTTTATTTTAGTTTTAATAGTGTTTTTGTTTACAAATGTGATTGCATACTAATTTTTTAAAAATAAAATTAGAATTTTAAAAAAAATATTAAAAAATAATTATTTAGTAGAATTATGACGAAATGTAATTTATTATTATTATGGCGACAAAATTGGTGACATAAATATTATGTCGCCTAAAACGCGATGGGATCACAACAATAACTAGTTTTGTTATTATTTTACGACGAAATTTTGTGACGGATGACAAATTTTACGATGGAACCTTGTGATGGAAGATGAAATTCGCAACGGAAATGGAAAGGTTAACTACGGGATCGCGACGACAATTTGTTTCGTTTTTTTTTTTTTTTACGACGGAATTTTGTGACGGAATACAAAATTTGCAACGAAAAGATTAGCGACAGAATCACGACTATAATTATTTCCGTCGTTATATTTCACGACAGAAATTTGCAACGGAATATGAGTTGCGTGACGGAATATTTTTTCACGCGTTGGCGACATAAAGAAGCATTTCCGTTGGCAAAACCGTAACGGACTCGCGACAGAATGATTTCCGTCGCTGACGTTGCGACGAAAAATTCCGTCACCATTTTCCGTCGCCACTGCTCGCGACGGATTATTTTCGTCGCAAAATGAAATACGATAAACCTTGACACTACGGAATGAATTCCGTCACGAAAATGTAAAATTTCGTCGCAAAACGTGATTTGCGACGGAATTTTGCGTTTTCGCGACGAAATTTTTCCGTCGCGAATCGTGATTTTTCTTGTAGTGTAGGTCAAAGGTTGGAGACTCTTGGAATATCAAAAATACCCCTCAACTATTAAAAGTAAAAATTCAAATGTGAGGATATTTTTGTAAAGGCACCTCCTTTTTCACCCATTCGGTCGAAAAGCCACCATTCCACTCAAAACTCTCCAAAACTTCTACACCTTCCATAGCCGAAAACTCTCAAGCTTTATCTCTCTCAATCTCAAATCCAAAATACAAAACACACTATGGCCGCCATTGGAGATTCAAGCTCTCACCCTAATGAAGAACAACTCAATCTTGCTAAACTAGCAGTTCGAATCAAGGCAGGGGGAAGTTTTGACCCACAAGGATTTCTCAAAGAGGCCAAGAACTCTCAACTTGCACAAAGGATCATCCATGCACTTCAACAAAGCAATCTCATGAGGTTATCCATACTCAGGATTTTATGATGAGGATGTAGCAGATTTTTATGTGAATCCCAAGGTTGTTGGATGGACCATTGAGTCCACCGTGAATGGAACTCTCATCACCATTGATGAACAAGAGTTGCACACAACTTTTGGACTTCCTATATCTAGTCCAGAACAACCACTGTTGGACTTAGATATACACATATATGATCACACGGAAGTTTGGACAGAAATTCGAAATGAGAATGCTTCTCTCGAACCAAATCTTTCCGGTCAAAAATCTGATTTGAAGTTAGAGTATGAAATGCTAGTCAAAATCATCTACAAATGTGTATAATGCAAACTGAATAGTATGGAGGATATATCACTTGTGAGAATTGGATATTTGCCTGCCTTGATGAATGATGTTAGGGGTGACTGGATTAAGCTTATTTTGAGCCAGATTGCACATTTTGTGAAAGGTGCAAATATTAGGAATGGCAAGTTCAACCACATTCTAGGGTTCGGGTTACATATTGGAGAAATTATAAAAAGAAAAGGATTGCCAATGAGGTCTAGAAAGCCATTTGGAAACAACCGGATTTTGTTTAAAGATCATGAATTGTTAACCGAGTTGAATTCCAAAAGAAAGAGGAAACCGAGAGGAATTCCTGCTAGGAAACGGCCAGTAGCAGAAATTCTTGGTTTAGCTTCTCAACCCTCAATCCAACCCCATGAAAACCCAACCTCTAGTCACGAACCAAACTCAAGCCAAAATCCAAACTCAAGCCAAAATCCTACCACAAGCCAAAATCCCAACATGAGTCACTGTAACACCCCGTGTTACGACCCCTAAAACCAATTAATCATTTAACCAATTATCCAAAGAAAGAATTAAATTACAATAATTAATTAGGAAATGGCCCACCATAGTCCGTGGGCCTCACCTCTAAAAACCCAACCCCTAGTCCTAAAGGGAATAGAGTTAGCAAGCCTATAGTATTTGGACCCTAATTAGGACTCTTAGATATATAAATAGGGGACATAGGAGGCACCTAGAACCCACACCACAATAATCTCTCACCACACAAGGAGCTCCAAGAATTCCCCTATGAGAAATCAAGAAAGAAGAAAGACTTAGAGAAAGATCCTTCATAGCCAAGGAAATTAATTAAGGCTAAGAGGTAACCCATGTCTCAACAAAACCTATTTTCTTAGCTATGATCTCCCTCTAGACATCCCTCTACATTCTTGTGTATTGATGATTCGTTTATGATATTGATGGTGTGATCTTAATAATTGATGTTATGCTTTCTTGGGTAATCTTGATAATCCTGATGATGGAAAGAGATTCTTGATGATTGTGGGATATTCTTGATAAACCTAGATTCCTAATGATTGTGTGATATTCTTGATAAATCGTATTGTTTCTTAGTATTAAAAGATGAATTACGTTCTTGATGATTTAAATATAATTAGAGCCCTGGGATGTATCGTGAAACTCGTATGGTGTTATTCTTGATATATTGGGTGGGAATTCGTATGTTTGGGTGTTAATTATGTTTAGAAAGCATGATAGGATATGTGTCGTATGTTTCTTGCTTTTGATTCGTTAATTGTCTACGTGTTATCATCAATTACGTTTAAAGGTGTCTAAGCATGGTTTCGGGTTCCACAAAGGTTCCCGGGGCGTTATTTGTGAAAAAGAGTCAGTGGGGGGTAGGTGGGGGTAGGGGACCCGCCACCTACCCGCGGCCAGGTTTAACGTCGCCGGCAGCAGGCAGCCGGCGGGCAGTCGCTTGCCCGCCGGGCACCTGCTGCCCAGAGACTTGTCGCCGGCGGGTGACCCTTCACCTACCGGCTACCCGCTGGAAATTCCCCCACCTCGGGATCCCGGCTTCCCCGTTTGATGTTCCCCCGACCCCCGTGGTGTCCCAACAGACTCCGTCTATCGTGCCTATGTCTAGTTTGATGTTCGGATACCATTCGTAGGTTGAATAAGTCTTATATATTGCATGCTAGTTGAATTGGTATCCCGTTGGCCTAGGTATGAGAAGTATGAACCCCTTAGGTTTATTCTTAGTATGTAGATGATCACGCATAGGTTACGTTATACGATTTCTCCCCCTTCCCAATGTGTCAATGTGGGTTGCATGTGTTTGCTATGTGTTATGTGTGCATGATACTCCAATTTGGTTGCGATCAAATTGGTTATTCCTGAGCTGCGGTTCAGAAGCTGGCTGCGGTCAGATTTACACTCTCGGGCTGCGGTCCACCTTTTGGTTGCGATCAAACGTTTTACATGAGCTGCGGTTCATATTCCTGGTTGCGGTCAGATGACTACTCTTGGGTTGCGGTCAGATGACTACTCTTGGGTTGCGGTCCACTGTTTGGTTGCGATCAAACATTATGATGAGCTGCGGTTCATCGGTCGGTTGCGATCGACCCCTCCGTGATGCGATACGGGGCAGGGTGCTGCGGGGCCGTGTCAGAGCTATATGCGCTAACCCTTGTATGGGCATGCGATTGGTCCTGTGGCGCCATCAAAGTGTGCTATGTGATGAGATATGGATGGTGTTATGTTATGAATATTATGAAAGTGGGACCATAGGATACATGCTAGTAAATTGTATATGCTTGGTTATGACTATTGGCTGTGCTTATCTCTAACTGTCGAGTCTGTTCCCTATGCTTGTAAATGGTGTGACTATTGACTGTGTTTATCCCTATCTGTCGAGTCTATTCCCTGTTTTAAAAGCTAGAGTCTCTTAAGATATATCTTCATGCTTCGAAATGGTTTTTCTTATATCTATGTATATATCTATATGTACTGTATTTCAACGCGTTAGAGTGGGTTACCAGCATCTCTCGCTGAACAGATATATTTGGCTTTCAGGCACAGAGGAGTAGACACTGGAGCGCGCTAGAGTCTTGGAGCGTAGAAGTAGATAGTTTCCCTTTCGGCTTGTGTGCCATGCTTATGCATTTACATTATTGAGGACATTAGTTAGTTAGCCTGTGCACCTGAGTTCTCTAGCTCAGGTGTGGCATACCACCCCGTACTCTTTATGTTATGTTTTAATGAGAATTTACCTTTATTATTTAAGCTTCAAAAGTTTAAAATTTTCGGGGTGTTACAGTTGGTATCAGAGCCTAAGTTTGACCCAAGGATAAGACTCTTAAGACTAGGCTTTAAGACAATAGGCTTGAACTTTAGGTACTTAGGAACATAGGACTCAGGAACCTTAGGACGCGCGGTGAGACTGTGAAACCTACACATAACTCTCCCTCACTTTACCCTTCACTTATCTAAATGGGACTTTCCCTCCGCTTATCACGCCAAAGTAAGGATGCAAAACTCTCACCTAACATCCCTATAAACATTGACCCAGAAGGACGACAACATTGCGCCAAACAGAAGACAATCAAGGACACCGGAACCCAACGTACACGACCCCCTAACCCAAACCCTGCAGCAACTGACACAAGTCGCCCAAGCACTAAGCGATGTGGCTCTTCGCAATAACAGGCCCCCACCATCTCCATCAAACACAAACTCGGACGTCGCCCGACAAGTTTCGAATCATCGACCCCCCACGTTTTCGGGAGAAGAAGACCCCGTAATCCTTGAGGAATGGATCCGGACCCTCGACAAAATTCTAGGGCTAGTAGAATGCCCAGAGGAACATCGTGTGGAGATAGCCTCGTTCTACTTGGGACACGAGGCAGACCTTTGGTGGATCCATGAGGGACCCGCTTACCGACAAGAACCAGGGTTCAACTGGGAAAACCTCAAAACGCGTCTACGAGAGCGATTCTATCCAACACACGTAAAAGCATCTATGCACGAATAGTTCCTCCATCTGAAA